CTGATTAGAGCTGATCTAATATTTGCCACAGATGAGTCATGTTTATCTATACTATTTTCAGTGCTTGTATTTCTGAGCAATGTTTCGTGAATATTCTACTTTTCACATGTTGTTATAGATTTTTTATATAATTTGGAGATTTTGTTTATGGGGAATGTTTATTGTGGTTGAAATTACAAAATAAATACTCCATGCATCATTAACTATTAGCAATAAACATGACTATGAATATTCAATATTAAATTAATTAAAATGTATGTGGCTTACCACATGACATGGAATCATGGCATGTGGTAAGCCTCTTCCTATGATAACTGAACTGTCAATTTTCACATTTTCCAACATCTTAACCTATATAGTATGACACAATACAATATTCTCTACTTTTTCCTCGTTTTAAACTTTTTGGATTTTCTCTGGCATGTTTTTGTTCTTCCAAAGTCAATGTGACATTCCTGATGCATCAATATTTCAACCCTACTGAGGCAGCAGCCATGTTTGAGTAAATGTTGTCCATGTAAATGCTAAAACATTAAAAGAAATGAACATTAAGCACAAATGAGTTGTTTTTTGTTTTTCTTTTGCATCACTGTTGTAAAATGGGAAGACAAATACTGAATTAAATGTGCATTGTTAAGTTTTGTTCCAGTCTAATGTACTTTGTCTCCCTCAAGTGGTCTAAAGGATAAACAAACAGGTTCAGTGTGGATCTGATGAGAAAGAATTTTCAAATGTTACACACATGAATATACCTTTTCAAAGCAGACAAGTCATTGTAGGAAAGGCAGAGGTGTAATTAATTGCTTAAATTATGGCTGCATTGCATTTAAGTTCCAAGCCTCTGGTTTTGTGCATGCTGGCCCACAACTGGGCCCCTAATATCAAGTGGGGTCGTCATTTATGTTATTAATTACACTGGTGAATTTCTAGCTTTGACAAGTCAAAATCAATGAAAAAAAATGATTTATTATAATTCCCAAAAAAATGTTTAACAGCTAGACAAATAAAGTGTCAATTTCACTTAAATGACTAAAATATTGACTGTACATTTTTGAAAACTGGCTGATGACAGGCACTGGGATCATGTTTCTTTTAACTGATAAACAAATGTATATAATACCTACTAAAAGTAGGTATTAAAGTTGGACTTGGCGTGGATTCAATAGTTATCCAAAGAACCAATTTATACCCATTAGTCATATTTAAGAAATTGCATTTTACAAAACTGATCTGTTTACAGAAATGGGAAAAAGCCACCTACTGCATAGGGTCACACAACCTGATTCTGCCACACCTCTCTTACTCCCTTTACTTCTTCAGATCAGTCCTAAAACTTTTATTATTGTGAGCCTTCTTCAGATTTTCTGACATGTCATAGGAAAAACACAGGTGTTACTATTAACACTAAAGATGGCGCTCTTCTATTCAAGTCCCCCAGTAAGCCATGGCAGTGTGACAGTGAACCAGCATGCACAATAGCAAACAAAGCAGGTAAACTGAATTCTGGTTTTTAGTATACACCTGTACTTTTGCTACTGTGACATGTCAAAATATCTTCTGGGAAAAATACCTACTGCTGTTTGTTTCCCCCTGTGCAAGCCAATGCTTAGATGCTATAGAAAGACATGCAATGGCCGGCTGACGACTGTGTTGCATGACACACATGTCAGGATGGGTTAATTAATGTGATAAAAATAAACAAAACCAAGGGGTGGAATGGCCTGCACTGATTAACATTGTTAGAACACTACCTCATCCCCAAAAATTGGATTTCACTTCTGTAAAAATGTAGGCAGGGCTTAGAGAAACCACTGGGTAAAACAAAACTTCAATAAATCAATGCAAGTGGTTTGTTGTTACAATTTGCATGAAATTGTTAATTTGGAAAAATTTGGAAAACAATGAAACAATATATTAGCACAAATCGATTTTACTGACAGTCAATACATATGTAATGAACAATCAACTTTTCTGAAAAGACTCCTTTCAGCCAGGAAAACCAGCCTAACTGGTTCAGTACAGTAAGAACAGCTGCTCTACAAAGCACTCTCACAATTGTTCATCTAGCATCCCTGAATAAGTGACTACAACTGGCAAATGTTTGGCCAGTGTCACATTCTGGGGGCAGTGTAAAACAACATAGCTTAACCTTTTTCCATATAATTTCTCCAGACAGGATAGTGACAGACTGGTCAGTGGCACTCATGCAAACAACAGCTGAACACCAGCAAGTCAGAGGTTCAAGGAGATTTAAAAACACCCCACAGGTGTTTTCACTTATTCTCCCTGATTCGGGCTCATTCTCCTGTTAGTGTGGGATAACTTCAACCTTTACCATTTGTTACACATTGTATTTATCACAGGAGGCATTTTAATATGTCAACATTAAAGCTTTTCATTCTGTCAATCAGTTTCCAAGTGCTGGCACTGTGGATGCTGCCAAACCTTTAACAAAACTAAGCCATGTTATTAATTTCACCTGTGCTTTTCCAGCTATGACATGTTCCAATTTCATACTACTGTACATTCTAAATGTATACAGTTTAAAGTATACACGTTTAGCAGTATACAAGAAAACACACTCAACCATTTCATACTAATAAATAATGCATGTCAATCAAACTGCAACTTTGGAGTGTCACAAATTCAATTAATACGCTGACAGCATGAACACATTTGTTTCATTTATTTTCTGTGGTGTTCACAAGGCTGTTACACCAACATCCACAACTTACTCACAGCTGTAAGTAGCTCCTCTATTGCCTCTCTGCGATGAATTATGGGAAAAACAGCATGCTCAACGACGGAGCATTTTTAGTATGCTTGCTGACGGTCTCGCATGTACTTTTCCAATATACTCCAAACCAAATTCTACCAATTCAAAAATAAGTAGTCTGTAGTACGAAGAAAACATTCTGAAAAAGGTCTATATGGACTTTGGTAACCTTTCTCACAGCAGACATTTTCTTGTAATAGAATAGTGTAATAATAAGTACAGATGTGATTAATTACATTGATGATGGCTGATTTCCATTCATGAGTCAGTTCCAGCCCCCTGGTACTGTGCATGTTACTAACAACATTAATGATGGCTACGCTCTATTCAAGTGTCTCAGTAAGCCCTGACAGTAGATTCGTTCGAGATGAACTTGCCTCGCCTGGAGCCTACAGCACGGGGCAGTGACAAAAAACTGCTGTCGAGACGAAAAGTTTCCAACAGTCTGGAAAAGAAGTCACAGAAACATGATTTAATTAAATGTTATCAGACCAATCGATCCAGCTTGTACTCAGTTTCCAATAATTAGGTTTTAATTATGTTCTTTTCTATGACAGGTTAGCCTTTTAAAATGCTATCTAGGCTATCTGTGATCACCATGACAGCTTTTATGTTTAACATCCATATTATTCATTATTTTACATTAAAGGGACAGTTCGGGATTTTTGAAGTGGGGCTGTATGAGTTACTACATAGTCAGTGTATTACCTGCACTTGATGTATTTTCTGATTAGTTTTTTTAATGCTGCACATGTGTTGACAAATCAGTGAAGATGTTTCCTTAATTTGCAAGTGAATGCGTTGAGCCTCGGAGCCACCATGATATTCCCATTATAGCTCTGCCCAGCTGCAGAGGTCTAATCAAGTAGAATGAGTGAGAACACCTGTGTGAGTCTCAAGACCTGTTCCTGGAAATGCTTTGGATAAACCTGGTTCTGTTTTATGGAAGAACGTGTTTCATTTTTGTCCAGGTGTCTTTAGAGTATTCAAACCATAACAGCAAAATAAGACTTCTTTTACAAAGCAATAACAACACATCAAATGTAGGCTACACATATCATAAAATCAGAGGTCAGCACTGTCTAACGTGTTTTCATACTACTGATATGCTAAATATCAACAGTGCTGAGTCGCGTGATAAAAAAAATATGCCCATACATGGTAAAGTAGAACACAATAGTTATTGAAACATGTATTTTTTGGAAGTTTATATTAACCACGTGCAAAGTCAAAGTAACAGAATTAAGATGGTTAAATATGCCAGAGTCCTTGAAATTGATCATGTAAGTATGAAGCACCCAGTCAACATTCACCTGTTGTCTTTGCTGTAACTTAACGAATCTGAAGTTGTCCGTGTTCTCAGGGGGAAGTTGGCTGCAAGTTACTTTCTGAATGGGTGGAAATTAAAGGAACGTTAATGTTTAATATTTCTGAGATGGCATTTAACCTGACACGACATGCAACCAAAATACTGCTGTGTTTAAGCCTAAATAAGGCACTAGAATTACTGTGACAAACTGATTTTACTGTAGCAGAGTGATGCGTTAGTCCTCTAGCTAAAATATGCTAGCTTACCTGCTTTATCGTTAGCCGGTTGGTGCCACATTCCGTAGGATCCCCTCAAGACGTTTTCAATAAAATATGGAAGTATAGCTTTGCAACCGTATCTCGAGTTGTGTGAATGACACACTATATCATATTGTAGGTACTGTAAATTAATACAGTAGCTTGCTTGTGTCTACCTAAAATTGTAGCGGGGGCAACAGAACCCCAGTAGAACCGCGATTTGCAATTCACTCCAGTGGCAGGGCCTCAACTACATATCCTGAACATATTAACCCTTTTTTAACTTGACTGACATATCTAATATTGATTATTCAGGGCTGGTTCCGTTCATAGGCGTCGCCAGGTCATTTTTCCAGGGCTTTAGCCCCGGATAAACAGACTGTAGCCCCGGGGGTGGACTGTTAGTCTGGCATACCGGTGGGCCGTCAAACCTTTGGGGCCGGTGTAACATAAATGATTTATTTATTTATTATAGCCTAACTGTTTTTAAAAAATGGGCCAACGATGAGCCCATAAAGCATAGGCCTATACTGACATTGGGCTGGCCCAATCACATCTCTTACTAGCTCCCTACCTATTTTTTATTTTTATTTTAATTGTCACCTCAAACATTTCCTCAATAAATTAGTGCAAAATAATTTCACCAGAATGCAGGAAATTAAGTGTTTAGGAGGACTTTTACTGCAATGCAGTTCTTGACACAACAAATATCTCCATCATTTGTGGTTTCTTACAATGGAGGTTTTCCAAAGACAAAAATGGAAGCCACTGGTCACAAAGCAGTCCAACCCAGGACCTGTCTGGGTTTTACAATTTATTGGAAAAAATTAAAGACAGCGCACAGTTACAGTAGAAAGGTTCAGTCAAAGCAATACCTTGTTTACCTATCTGCTGTGCGTCCGTATGTTAAACTTCTTTGCAAATATTAACTAATACTAAACTGTACTACTGTGTCTGCTCACATCGCACCTTGCGTGATTTATCAGATTAATTATCTACTTTAAAACGGGGTATAGGCTAATGGTGTAATGTGTGCCTTTCTTTTTAAGTTAATTTTGTTTATTTATTAGACAAAAAAAAACTAAGTTAAGATAGTAAAGTAGCTGCTCGCACACGTCTCCCAGCTGAAATTACGGGGGAGACCTGAGCTGTATTATCGGACTACCGTCCCTTGAGGTACAAAGTGTTGTTACAACATAGTGCACATTGCACTTTAAAGAATAGATAAACATTTTGCTATTAACTGTTCACTGTTACCAACTTCCAGTTTGTGCGCTATTTTGCCGTCAAGTCCCGTTCCTTCAGTTAGAGCATAGAGTTGTTCTTCCTCCCTGAAATTATGCGGAAGTCTTCAGTCACTGCATCCCATTAAATCTTCCTCCAGTTTTTCAAGATGTTCTCTGCTGCATCAAGGGTACTGTCTTGCTGTTAAGAGAAATACAACTGAAGGTTATAATTGGGTTTTTCACCAGAGAAAAGGGCATCTAAGCCAACATTAATCTTTACAATCAACAGTAACAATTAGACAGTTGTGCATTTACCTTAATGAAGCAAAGGCGAATGTATTTCTCAAACTGCTTCTTGGACTCCTCTCCAACAAACGCAGTGACTGGAATGGCTGCCAGTTTCTATATATAATATTATTATTATAATTATTATTAAAAACGGCAATAAAAAAAAATCAACAACAGTGAGTGCAACTAAGAACAATTAAGATGTATTGTAAATTGAAGAGAGCACAATCTGATGAATTTGTTTGCCTTTTCTTTAATCATCCACTTCACAAACTTGTAGTCATAGGCGTCGTCATCGTCCATATGTGACAGGTCCTGATCTACAATGAACACAGAGCAGAGGTGAATATTCAGTGATAAAGATGTGAGTATAGACTTTTTAAATCAGTTATACATTAAAAGTTATTTTATTTCAAACCCATTTTACAAAAATACTTTTTTCCTTTATTTGTGTGGTCCAGTAGTAATCCCCCTGGCAAAACTTGAGTTTTAAGTTTTATGAATTTTACCATTGAGTTACGTTATTAGCAACTATTTTTAATTACTATTTTGTTGGTGAACTGAGTACATTGAAAATATACATTTGTTAACCATTCATGCAGATAATATTTAGGTGCAAATAAACTTTTGGATTCAAGGTAAATTTCTTTCTACATAACTGCAGAGTGACTTCTTTTGCATAAACTGATCTACATTTTACATATCTGGTTCCTCTCCCTCTGAGTTCAAGCTTCCCTTGCACTTAAGATTCTTGAATCAGCTGTTCAACTCATTTCTGTGAAGCACATCAACATAAAAATTGTTACCAAACAAACAAATTAGTAACTCACTGAGAGATGTGACGTCCACAAGCATGAAGTAGCCTCCCTCTGGTATGATAGGAGTCATACCGGCCTCCTGCAGGATGGCAGCCATGCGGTCCCTCTTGCCCTCAAGTTCTTCTGCCAGCGAGGAGAAGTAGCACTCTGGTTGACCCATCAGTTCAAAGTTCCGGAGCAAGCCTTGTGCTACAGCCTCCTGAAGAGAAGCAGCTAGAAGTTTCAGAGTCACGACAGAATTAACTTTTCCTTTGCTTTATTTTATGGATGCCAAGTAATATGTGGGAGGTGTGTCTACTTGCCTGTAAAGGTGTTGGGCAGGTGTACAGAGTATTCTGCATGACGGTCTGAAGATGCTTTATCAAGTGCTCCGGTCCTATAGACCAACCAAGCTAGGACACACACATTTCACCCACATGATGTGCAAGAACTGAGTGCTGAATATTACAAATTGTGTTCTAAATCCACAGACTTCTTACCTTCCATCCAGTAACACTAAATGTTTTCCCTGCACTGCCAATGGTGATTGTTCTATCCCACATTCCTGGCAGAGTGGCTACAGAGAGAGAATTTACATGGAAATACCTCAGGATATTGAAATTTATTTGAGAGTAGTGTTAGGGGCTGTATTTTATCTTTTAAGGCCAGTAACATTTTTAAGTTGTCAATATTAAGAACATAATTTCATGCCAAGAGAGATGTTTACTTTAAAACTGTGCTGGTGTGTAGAAAGTAAACACTTTAAATGCTCCTCAGGGGAGGATGAGGCAGTGTAAGGCCGCAATCAAACTAGTATTTATAATGGTGAAATTTCAGAATGGAATCAATTCATTGCAGTGGAAACATATAGGATCAGAGAAGTGGCTCACATGAGTAAGGTTAATTCATCTGCTGAATCCAAAAATGAAAGAGGCTATCACTATTTGCAGTCACGAGACAACAGGCGATGGTACAAACACTTGTCTTGAATCAAACATCTTAATTTATTCTCTGGTTGGTGATTAAGCCAACTGGTTTGCTTGCTCATAGTCAACAAGCCACCGCTTACTTTGGTGGATTATTGTAACCCTGAAAGTCCACTGACTCTGCTGATATGTTTAGATTTTGTTTATTTGGTCATTAGTGCTTGCTTTATGTGCTTCTACTATGACTGAGTAGGCTACGTAGTTAAATGATTTCTTTTTGTGTCCGTTTTAACCGTGTTTATTGTTGTTTCACGATCAGGAGTCTACGCATAGTATTTTATTTTGAAAATTGACCGGATTCGCTATGCCGTTGTGTGTCTGACTTCCTGCCTGGTTGGATTTGCTCTGTGCTGCTTGACGCATCATCTGTCGAAATTACACCTGCTACCTATTCTCTGTGGAGCGGAGAGCCGCTTCTGGGCCGCGCTGCTGCTGCATCTGGTGGACTTACAAGCATTCACTAGAATGACCGCGATTAGCTCCAGCAACCGCGGCGCAGCCGAAACGCAGCATAGCCGGAGTCAATGGATTTTACGGGTAACTGGCTTGTGCTGTGCGACTTTCTGGTGTGACTGGACCCTAAAGCAAGTGCTAATGCATTTATTTAGAGGTTTCCTTCCCTGCAGCTGTGTGTGGAGAATGGAGGAGCTAATATTGTACAGGAGATGGATGATGGTTGGCTCTTATATATGTTTTTGAAACATACAAATTTTGATATGTTGGTGTCCCCCGTAGAGGAGCCACTCATAAACCTCATCACTGAAGCAGAGAGTGTCGTGTTTGATACAGAGGTCAGCAATCATCTGCAGCTCATCTCTGGTCAAAACCTGCAGGAGGGGGACAGGAACTACTGAAAGCACTTGTTTTTTCTGTCATGTCAAGTTAGCAAGTGTTCACAGTTGATGACAGTGATGCATACTTACCTTCCCAATAGGATTGTTGGGGGTGTTGATGATGATGGCCTTTGTCTTAGAGTTGAATTTACTGGAAAGCTCATCTGGGTCAAGAAACCAGTCTGCACTTGTTATTCTCTTCTTTCCAGACTTCTAAAAATTTGTAGAAGACATTTTGTGTCATGGCTTCTAAAAGCCACCAACATCCTCAACACGTGTAGTAGGTAAAGTATATACTGTATGTATGAAACTTGTACGACAAACATCAGCCGTTGGGTTAAACTTACAAGGCGTAACGGTATCAACACAGGCTTGGCCCCTGCCATTCGCACCATTGGTACATAGCAATCAAAGAAAGGTTCTATTATGATAACCTGGAGAAGGAAGTATTACATAATTAATATACTGTAAATACCGGGAGCATGTTTATGAATGTGCATTTCTATCAATATAAACCCCTCTGTATGACCCAGTGAGAGAAAGACATGTCCTCACCTCATCTCCCTCTTCCACCAGGGCTTGTATGGAGCTGAATAAGGAACCATAACCTCCTACTGTGACCAGAATTTCTTTGAAGGGGTCAATCTGGCGGCCACAGACCTTCCCATAAACCTGAGAGAGGGCCTTCACCAAAGAGGGATGACCCTTGCAAAATCAACAGAGGACATTATATATATACACTCACCTAAAGGATTATTAGGAACACCACACTAATACTGTGTTTGACCCCCTTTCGGCTTCAGAACTGCCTTAATTCTACATGGCATTGATTCAACAAGGTGCTGAAAGCATTCTTTAGAAATGTTGGCCCATATTGATGGATAGCATCTTGCAGTTGATGGAGATTTGTGGGATGCACATCCAGGGCACGAAGCTCCCGTTCCACCACATCCCAAAGATGCTCTATTGGGTTGAGATCTGGTGACTGTGGGGGCCATTTTAGTACAGTGAACTCATTGTCATGTTCAAGAAACCAATTTGAAATGATCCGAGCTTTGTGACATGGTGCATTATCCTGCTGGAAGTAGCCATCAGAGGATGGGTACATGGTGGCCATAAAGGGATGGACATGGTCAGAAACAATGCTCAGGTAGGCCGTGGCATTTAAACGATGCCCAATTGGCACTAAGGGGCCTAAAGTGTGCCAAGAAAACATCCCCCACACCATTACACCACCACCACCAGCCTGCACAGTGGTAACAAGGCATGATGGATCCATGTTCTCATTCTCTTTACGCCAAATTCTGACTCTACCATCTGAATGTCTCATGACTAATGACTCATCAGACCAGGCAACATTTTTCCAGTCTTCAACTGTCCAATTTTGGTGAGCTCTTGCAAATTGTAGCCTCTTTTTCCTATTTGTAGTGGAGATGAGTGGTACCCGGTGGGGTCTTCTGCTGTTGTAGCCCATCCGCCTCAAGGTCGTGCGTGTTGTGGCTTCACAAATGCTTTGCTGCATACCTCGGTTGTAACGAGTGGTTATTTCAGTCAAAGTTGCTCTTCTATCAGCTTGAATCAGTCGGCCCGTTCTGCTCTGACCTCTAGCATCAACGAGGCATTTTCGCCCACAGGACTGCCGCATACTGGATGTTTTTCCCTTTTCACACCATTCTTTGTAAACCCTAGAAACGGTTGTGCGTGAAAATCCCAGTAACTGAGCAGATTGTGAAATACTCAGACCGGCCCGTCTGGCACCAACAACCATGCCACACTCAAAATTGCTTAAATCACCTTTCTTTCCCATTCTGACATTCAGTTTAGAGTTCAGGAGATTGTCTTGACCAGGACCACACCCCTAAATGCATTGAAGCAACTGCCATGTGATTGGTTGATTAGATAATTGCATTAATGAGAAATTGAACAGGTGTTCCTAATAATCCTTTAGGTGAGTATATATATATATATATATATATATATATATATATGTGTGTGTGTCGACACTTACAAACTACAGCTTTAATAGATGATGCAGAGTTTTAACTGGAGTTGACGTTGAGCACAATACATATGAGATATTGTTAGATACAAGATGGCAATAACCAACAACAGTTCAGTTTCTGTACTGAAAAATTAGTCAACTACCAAATAATTAATTAATATTTTTTCATTTGAGTGTGAAATTTGATTGGATGTCTAACATAAACTGTACATCATTCCATTTTAGAGCTGCAACCATTAATCGATTAGTTGTCAACTATTAAATTAATCTATTTGATTAACTATTTTGATAATCAATCTGAGTAGATTTTTGAGAAAAAATTCTCTGATTCCAGCGTCTTAAAGGTAAATATATTCTGGTTTCTTCACTCCTCTGTGAAGAAACCAGAATCTTTATTCTAAATTACAGCCTATTATTTGTCATAACAAGTAATAATAGTTTATGAATTGTAGTTGGTTTGTAGCACACCTCAGTTCCATGCAAGGTGACACGCCATTGTGCTGTAGGAATACTATCATTACACTTGTCAAAAAAAATCACACAGTGTAAAGGGGCCTTTTAAAGGTAAAATAGAAAGTAAAAACTTCTGTCGCCGGTCCTTCAGCAAACCTTAGCTTTTCAAATAGATTTATAAGAAATGTTAAACAACCTAGTTTCAAAAAGAATTTGCCTTATGTGGTAGTGGACCATGAGGGAGCTGTATTGCAGTTAATTAGTCTTACAAAGCCTCTGGTGTACTGGTTCATCCTGTCCACTGATGCAGCCTCTGCCAGGGCCTCCTTGACGTAAGAAGGTGGAGGGATGTCTGGAAAGCCTTGGCCCAGGTTAACAATTGATGGATCCGCTGCCACTGAAGTAAACGCCACCCTGGATTGACAACGAAAGAAATCATTACTGAACAGACCAGAGATCACCGCCAACATTCCTGTCCAAAGAGCACATTTTTAGTTTAAACAGTGACAGAATATCTTTTAAAGCAGACTAAAATCCCCAAACCTACTGCTATGGCTCAATATCAACTTAAAATTCATCGTTCCATTTACCACAGCAAGCCTTTTATCCAAAGCGACTTACAATTGCAAGTGTCTTGCTCAGGGACACAATGGTGGATGGGTCACAGTGGGGAATTGAACCTGGGTCTCTCACACCAAAGGCATAGTCTTATCCATTGTTCCATCACCACAGCGGACCTTGAAGACTTGCTGTGGTAAATGGAATGATAAATTCTGCTGTCTACCAAAATATTATAATGAAAGAGACTTGGTGTAAACTATAGAACGGTAATACAAATACATGAATCATTTTGTATACCGTTGCCCCACTTCCTTTAAACTGTGGAAATGACATGAATTAAATTAAAATTAAATGGCATAAAGACTACATGGCTACTGTACTTCACACCCACATACCACTTGCCACTTTGCTGTTGTCTAACATCAGAAACCTGGCTGGCTTTCATCATGCAATAACAATAGTGTAAAATGGGAACCTGATCTGAGGTCTCTTGCCGTGCCACACAAGGATTGATCTATTTTTTTTCCCCACTTACCAGACATTCTTGTCCAGTCCTTCAATTCTTTTTGAGTGTGTGTGCCGTGACATCATTATATGCTGCAACACAAAACCAAAATACATTACACCTAAATTAACAACTTAGTGAGTGCACATTAAAATACTACTCACCTGCTCGTCCAACAAGCTGTGTGGTAGGAGCAAAATATCAACCACTCAGGGATGGTACTGAGCATTAACACACCTGGACTTTGGTCAGTGGTTTTATAACTGGCT